AGAGAGAGAGAGAGAGAGAGAGAGAGAGAGAGAGAGAGAGAGAGAGAGAGAGTTCTTCTTCTTCTTCTTCTCAGTCCACCATCTCTTCTCTCCCTCTCAACTTCTGACTTCACTGCATCTGCAAACTATGAGAGAAGAGGTACGGAGCTTGGTGACATTTGATCCAGACTCGACTTTTGGGGGTTCAGACATGGCAACAAGGGACTATTTGGGATTGGTGACCAAGACTTGGTGTTAACGACATTCCCATTCTTCTCCCTCCTTTCGTCTGATCCTTATCTCTTCGTCTGTGTATGTCTGGACCTGGCGCTTTCTTCCTGTGTACAGCGCCAGGCTCCTTCACACTTGGTGATGGATACCATGCACATTTAGTCTGAGTTCAAACATTGATTGGGCTAGTTAGTAGTACTCTAGCATTCTGCTTCGCTACTCTGAACTACGTGAATGAGGTCAGTCCTGTCAGGTCAGTCTTTGTATCAAAGTCTTCCCTGCGCTATTCAGCACCTTTTGTATGTATAAGAATGCACATTGTCTGTCGAGACTCAACTCGCACTGTATTGTCCATTCAGTCCTTTTCATCACATTGCAGTTCCTCGGTTATTACGTACATGGCATATCTGTGCATGTAACACAAGGCAAGGCGAGGCAAGGCAAGGCAAGGCAAGGCAAGGCAAAGCAGGGCAAACAGAAGGGGAGCAAGGCAGCGATGGAACAAGGCAAAGCAATGCCAAGGCAAGTGGGCGGCCAGATGGGATGGCGATCAGGACACTAGCACAGCAAAACAACCAGCAACACAAGGACCCCAGGCAAGGGGGCCAGTGGGTGGGCGGGCGGGCCGGAAACCAACACACAAGACACCGAACAACACAGGAACCCAGAGACGCAACAAGGAACAAAGTGGGCTACAACCCACTCACATCACATGGAAATCCCTAGCACACTGTTGCTTCACGCCCCATCAAGGGCCAGGAAGCAAATGTCAATCAAACACTGACACAGTCATCCGAAACACAGCCACCCCCCGAACAGTGTGACAGGCACTCTGCACAACCAGCCACCGACTATTTGGCGCAACTTAAAGGTACTCGACTTCCTTAAAACACAGGAAAGGCCCAAACCGCATAGTCTCCCCATATACATGCGGTCCCACTTTTAGTGAGAAACAGCCATCGCTGGGCAGGAAGGAACAGGCGCGCGCGTGACTTTTAAACGTTAGTTTAATCCAAAAAGTATCTCTGAACTTTGATGCCGGCTACTCGACATCATTTCGAATGGAAAGTCAGGGGTACGCACGTGGGATCTCGTTTCCGGATCAAATCCCGTTGTCGCTCGCTTCAGAGTTCGGAATCTGACGTGGAAGGCCGCAGTTCAGTAAAGTGCAAAGTAAAAAACTGCAAGGCCTCTTAGGTCCAGAAAACCTGGTGTGAACCCTCTGAGCCCACATGCGAACACTCCACAAGGCAGGCATACCACAGGACACCTCTGCAGCACCAGCAATGCCACCGCTTAGAGCACGAGCTGCCAGCCCAGACTTCTAGAAAACACCCGGGACTTAACACTGGGCCATGGAAAGGTTCGGTGTGGCCATCACAAAAAGGCTTTCAGCGCCAGGCAAATCACGTGCGGCAAAGGTTCCAATTTGTGATGTCCGGGCAAAAGTGAGTGTTGGGAGATTTGGAACAACTCTGGCAGCAAAATATCGCATCTTTTGCTACCCACTACTACGGGTAGATCCACAACATTTTCCGCTTTGTTGTCGTACCGTGGTATGATTTTCAAAGCACCAGGGGGACTGGTGGTTTAAAGCGCTCTAGAAACAGGAGCTCCTTCCCACACCACTCTCCGTGTTTTCCGGAAGAGCAGTCTGTGGGCAGATGTGTTTTTTTTGTTCATCTGCAAGATCCTCACAAGGAGGCTCACTCTGAGTGTGTGTGTGGTTTTGGAACGGTTTCACTCAGTTTACCCGACAGATGCAGACATCAGGACTCGATCCCTAGACCTACCCCGCAACCTCGTACATTGACCCTGTAACCCTATGTGAGATTTGAACCCACGACCTGTCCCTAAGGCCCTTAGGACAGTTAGTATGGGTTTTAGTCAGTCGTTAGGTCTTGAACCGTAGACCTCCGTGTTAGTAGTTTAGTAACCGTTAGGCTTAGTTAGGGTTCTGCCGGAAGTCTCTACCTGGCTCTTCATTAGTGTAAGGGTCAATCCGTAGTGAGTCCTAGCTGTTAGTGAAGGGTCAGTCAGTAGGTTCTAGAAAGTCGTAGGTCTGTCTACCGTGTCTAGTCAGCCAGTAGCACAGTCCACCCCGTCCAGTCAGCGAGTACCAAGTGGGGTTCCCACACGGTTTGGGGCCTATAGTCCCACACAGTTTGGGTCCTGCCGGCCCACGCGGCTTGGGACATCCCCAGGCCCATGCGGTTTGGCCCCTCCAGGTGTTACGGACTCCGCCAGGGCTCGATCCCTGGTCGACTTTTTGCTGTTTCTGCTGCATCCCGTTTTTGGCCTGGCACCCTTTTTCCAAACCCCTCCTTTCGTACCGTCGGATTTTGGACAACTGGCGCCATGCTGCAATTCGGGCGCCACTTTCAAATGCCGCATTTTTCAGTTCTGCCCTCGGGGCTTTTGCAGAAATGCCCCTGGTACCGTACGTGTCACCGGTACTTATACCGGCTCACCGTACGGTACGGGGACCCGGTCTCATACCAGTTTCAGCTGCTGTACTCGTACTCAGTGGGACTTGCTCCTGTTTTCGACATTCGGAATCCAAGACTTCAACTTTGTGTCCTTGCCACTGGGTCTGCGTCCGACCCTGAGTCGTGTCGAGTGAGTGAGTGTGTGTGTGTGCTCTCACTCTCTCCCTCTCTCTCCCCTCTCCCTCGGCTCTCCCTGTCTCCCTCAGCCTCGCGCTCGTCACACTGGTATCAGAGCGGTTAGAACCCGCCCAACCCACCCTGCTTCGTCGTCACCACCTGGCCATCATCAGCATCATCATCGTGATTGTCGTCGTAGTGCCACGTCATCGTCGTGATCGTCGCCGCCGTGCCACATCATCATCGTCATCGTCGCCGTCGTGCCACGTCATCATCGTCACCATCCTGATCGTTGTCGTCGTGCCACGTCGCCATCGCCGTGCCCGTCGTCCTTGTCGCCGCGTCGTGCCATCCTCGTCATCGTCGTTGCTACCTCCACACAGATAAGTAATCGACGACAATTTTCTTTTTGTTCTTTTTCTTCTTCTTCTTCCAGTTATTCTCTTCTTCTTTTTCTTCGTTCTTTTCTTCTTCTTTTCTTCTTCTTATCTTCTTCTTCTTCTTTCTCTTCTTCTTCTTCTTCTTCTTCTTCTTCTTGGTCGTCGTCGTCGTCGTCGTCGTCGTCGTCGTCGTCGTCGTCGTCGTCGTCGTCGTCGCGACTCCGATCCCGCTCCCGTGCAACCTCCCCTCCCGACTTTCGATCTTTCCCCCCCCACGCGCTGTTCTTCCCCCCCCCGACACCCGACTTCCCCCGGACCTGTCTCTTATACACATCTAGATGTGTATAAGAGACAGCCCCTACCTAGCACGCCACCACCCAATCAATAGTAGATAGGATCGCCCCGCCCTCCATTTACATCAAAACTCATTCATTCCTTTATCTATTATTTTTTATTTTATTTTAGAATCCATTCTTGTACAATTCACTATCTTTCTCGACATTTCTTTTTCAAAAACATTTTCTTTTTCAAAAAGAAAAAACTTTCTTTTTTCCAAAAATACGTAGGATTAATCACTCTTTCCCGGCATTTCTTCTTCGAAATGCGAAAAAGAATTTTACTTAATTCTTTTCCAAAACTTTTGTAATTCGAAAGCATTTTACAATTAATTAAATTTATTTTTATTTTATTTTATTTTATTCCGACATTTATTTTTCGAAAACATTTCTAATTCACTCTTTTTAGGAAATACTTTTAATTAATTGTTTTTCGGAATTTGTGTAATTGGAAAATATTTCAGAATTAATTAAATTCCTTTCGTTTGAATTAGTTAATTCTTTTCCCAAAAAAAATTGAAAATACGTTAGAATTATTTTTTTTTTTTTTTGATATTTCTTTTGGAAATTCGAAATAATTCTAATTAATTATTTTTCCCATTCATAAAATTCCTCTTTGCAATTTTTCTTGAAATTCGAAAAAATTATTTTTCGCAATTCCTTTCTGAAATTCTCTTTTTGTTCAGAAGCACTTCCTTTTTTTTTTTTTTTGAACTCCTTAATTAATTACGACTAAGCTCGATTAATTCACGACTGAATTAATCTCTTTTACTCAGAATTAATCACCCCTTTTCGAAATTATAAAATTTTACCCCGAACATAAATCCAAAAAATTTCCCCGGAATTTTTTTTTTTATCGGAATGAATTATTCCTTTCTTCATTTGGAAATTCCTGAAAATTTTGCTTTCGTATTTTCTTGAAAAATACACTCGCGAATCATTTTTGAATAAATTCAAATTAATTTACGCTCTATTCTTGCAAATAGGAATTCCCCCCCCCACCTCCACATGTCACCACGCCAAACCAAGAACTCCCAACGCGCCGCCGCTGACGCCGCCGCCGCTGCTGCTGCCACCGCTGCTGCGCCATCCTCCACATCCGTTTCGGCCGCATCCTCCAACCCCTCTTCCCCCGACATGACCGCATCCTCCATCAACATGTCTGACATCCGCACCGACTCGGTCGATAGCATCGCCCGCAACCTCGCAGGCGAACAACCACCAGCAAACACCRCCACCCCCGACCTCTCCGCCATCCTCCATGCACTCAACACCCTCCGAACCTCCGTCACCGCCTCTCTCGACGACATAAAGGCCAACATGTCGGCCATATGCGACCACGTCACCACGCTCGAGGGAAACACCCCCGCCATCACGGTCGTCACCACGACCACACCCCCCTCCTCCACACCCCAAACCACCCCCTCCTCCGGCCAAGCCTTCGCTTCAACCTCCACATCAACATCACCGCTATCTTCATCCACCACTACCTCCACCATGGCCACTCCACCTCCCCTCTCGCCCAAGGCGACAACCCCCGCCGTCACACAGTCATCAACCATCCCCCCCCAATCAAAACCCCTCTTATCCACCTCCACTATCACCTCAACTATCCCCGATTACACTCAGATTATCCCACACGCTGTGTATCCCGCTCCCCCACTACTTCCCCCAAATGCACTCATCCCCACCAACCCCACCGATGATTTCACCCTGGTCGACTCCCCAACCCCACCCTTGATTTCAACACCCTTGCCTCCATTAACCCTAGAGAAGGCAAAATCCCCCCATCATTCCGCATCAACGAAATCCCCACCTTCTCGGGCCAACCCCATGAGGATGTCCTTCTCTTTCTCACCAAACTCCAACAAGCCTTCTCCCTCCACGGCATCCCCGTCATCCACTAGCTCCCCATCGCTGGCGGCCGACTTCTGGACAACGCGGCTCGCTGGTGGTACACCGAAATGTCTAATCGCCACCACTCCGGTCTCCGGCCTCACACCTTCCTTCAGTGGGCCACCCTTATCACCTCCACCTTCCGCCCACAGAAAACGGTCGACAACTGTATCGACCAATTCTGCCGGCTCCAACAAAATGGCCCAACCGACTGTTTTGTGCAATACGTCCGCTCACTTCGCCAACATATCCCCATTGATGTCGTCAGCGACTTCGCCTTCATCTCCCGCGTTAAGCTCGTATGCCGCAAAGACCTAGCGGCCGCCCTTGTCCACGACCCCCCCATGACCCTCGCCGACCTCCTCACTCGTACCCTCCAACTCGATTGCATCCTCTCCCCCTACAAGACCGCACTTACATCGGCCCCTTCCCGCCCTCGCTTCTTCCACAACATCGCCTCCGAGGACACCACCTCCACCACCTCCTTGGACGAGTTCACTACAACGGACCCCGACGCATCTTCCGATTCACTCGATTCTTCATCCCTTTCTTCCGAGGAACTCAATGTCGTCTAATTCATGAGGATGGAACGCAGAGATCGCAGCTCCCGACCACCCTCATCTACCCCACCCTCCCGCCTCAAGAAACTAACCCTCGAGGACCGCACCTACCTCCAAGCAAAAGGGGGTTGCTTCCGTTGTCGTCAATTGGGGCACCAACAAACCAATTGCCCCAATGCTAGTCCACCTCCACTCGACCTGCAACCTCTGCATCACCGCCCTCGGCAAGCGCGGGTCCCTCCTCATCATGAACATAGTCCCCAGGACATCGACCCGGCATCGACACCGCGTCTGTCGGCCCACCCATCGGTAACGTCCTCCGTCCCACCGATGGCTCATTTGGCATCGACCATTCGTCTGCCAACCCCTCCTCCGGTGACGCACATCCCACCGGACAATCTCCAGGCGTCGCAGTCTACTCCGCATGCCCCCCTCCCGACGATGTCCCCTATTCCATCGGATGAACCCTCCACTGCCACGTGTTCTTCCACCCTTCTCCCTAAACCATCCACCACCACTTTCACAGATCTTGTTGAGGAACGAGCCCAACACGATCGGCTCATTAGGTTAGGCCTCGAGCAACGCCGCCTCAACACTATGATCTCCTCTGCTTGTGCCGGATCCGCACAGTTCCAGCTCAAGTTCATTCCCGTTTCCCTCGGTGCTTCGACGGTGAAGTTCCGGGCCCTCCTTGATATTGGCGCCACCGACAACTTCATCACCAATGCCTGCGTCCACAAAGCCGGCTTAGCGTCCACCGGCTATGACTCCTGATCACTATCCGCCTAGGGGATAAGGACTCAGCCGTCGTCGTCGATCGTACAGTCCCTGAGACCCCCATGACTGTCGGCCCCCTTCGCAGTCAGGTCTCCTTCGGTGTCATGCACCTTATGTGCGACATCGTCCTAGGGACCCCGTGGCTTGACCGCTACATGCCCTACTCATTCCACCCCTCCTTTGTCCGCCTCACTAACCCTCCCGACTCTCCCGTTGACATCCCCTACATTCTTCCCCTTCCACCCCACCCCCTGTCTCCCCACATCAATTCCTCCACATGTCCCGTGAACACCCTGACTCCGCTTACTATTGCCTTGTCATCGATCGTGAGCGTCCCAAGGACTTGCTTCCAACGGACAAACCCGACCAAGATCCTCCTTCTGATCCCCACATCACCGCCCTCCTCTCCGAATTCAAAGATGTCTTCCCCGAGTCCTTGCCCGCCGGTCTTCCTCCCGATTGCGGTGTATCCCACACCATTGATCTCGAGCCCGACCACTCTCCCCCTTGTCGCCCCCCGTACCAGCTCTCCGTCCCCGAGGCCGAAGAGATGAAGCGACAACTTAATGAACTCCTTGAGAAAGGATTCATTAAGCCTAGTTCCTCCCCCTTCGGAACCAGTTGTCTCTTCGTTAAGAAGACCGACACCTCGAAACTCCGCATGTGCACAGACTACCGTGCCCTGAACCGGATCACGATCAAGAACAAGTACCCACTCCCTCGCATATCCGAGCTTCTTGATCGCCTCCGTGGGGCCAAGTATTTCACCAAGATTGATCTCCGCAGGGGCTTCCACCAGATTCGCATCTGTGAGGAGGACACCCACAAGACCGCCTTTCGCTCACGCTTCAGGTACTACGAATTCCTTGTGATGCCCTTCAGACTTACCAATGCCCCCGCCACATTCCAATCCACCTTGAATCACATCTTTCGCGACCTCCTCGAAGTCTGTGTCGTGATCTACCTTGATGATATCCTCGTCTTTAGCCCCACCTTTGAATCCCACCTCGAACACCTTCGCAAAGTTTTCTCCATCCTTCGAGAACAAAAGTTCTACGCCAAGCTCAGCAAGTGTACTTTTGCTGCCCCTAGCGTAGAATACCTTGGTCACATTGTCTTGGCCGACGGCATCCGCATGGACCCCAAAAAGGTCTCCGCCCTCGTCGAGTTCCCACCTCCCTCCACCTTGACCCAGCTTCGCTCATTCATTGGACTCGCCAACTATTACCGCCCCTTCATTCAAAACTTCTCCGACGTCTCCTACCCTCTCCATGAGCTCACCCGCGCCACCGAATCCTTCACATGGACTGAACGCCGCCAAGCCGCTTTCGACAAACTCAAGCAACTCATCACCACCGCCCCCCGTCCTCAAGATCGCTGACCCCACTCGCCACTTCTTTGTCACCACTGATGCCTCAGACTTCGCCATTGGGGGTGTCCTTTCCCAGCATTTCCCTCCTGACCCCACCGAGATCCCCTCTGTCAAAGATTCCCCTACTCACTCACAGTCCCCACCCGACGAACACCCCATTGCCTTCGCTAGCAAGGAACTCCTTTCCGCGGAGATGAATTACCCCTCCAACGAGAAGGAACTCCTAGCTGTGGTCTACGGCGACTCTACGCCCTCAAAGTCTGGCGCCCGTACCTCGACGGGCAATACTTCACCATCCGCACTGACAACACAGTCGTCTCCTCCATCCTTACCAAGAAAGACATCACCCCCCGCCAAGCCCGATGGCTAGACTTCCTTACCCAGTTCACCTTCACCATCTTCCACACCCCCAGCAAAAGCAACCGCGTTGCTGATGCCCTCTCCCGCCGCCCCGACCACAAGCCCCCTAAGAAAGTCTACGCTGCCATGACCCACATTCAACTTCTTCCATCGTTACATCGCCGCTACACCCAAGGTTACCTCTCTTGCCCAGACTTCGCTTCCATTTACTACCAACTCCGTAGCCTTGACTCAGTCCCTGACTACTCTCTCCATGACAATCTACTCTACATTGACACCAAGGGCACTCGCCGACTCTGCATCCCTGATGCACGTGGTCTTTGTACCCAGCTCTTGGCCGAGCACCACGACGCCAAGACCGCTGGCCACCTCGGTTTCCAGAAAACCTTCGACACCATCTCCCGCTACTTCCATTGACCTTCTCTACTCGCCGGCGTTAAAGCATACATCCGCTCGTGCCCCACCTGTCAGGCCGTTAATCCCTTGAACCGGGCCAAGCCCGGCAAGCTCCAATCACTGCCTATCCCTACCCACCGGTGGCGGTCCATCTCCATGGATTTCGTGTGCGGCCTCCCCAAGACCGACCGTGGGCATGATTGCATCTACGTCATTGTTTGTCGTTTGACCAAACGCGCCCACTTCATTCCTTGTACCACCTCGCACAATGCCAAAGACATCACCATACTCTTCTTCGATCATGTCGCTCGCCACCACGGTCTCCCCGAGAACATCATCAGTGACCGCGATCCCCGCTTCCTATCACAGTTTTGGAAACACCTCTTCCAAGCCTACGGAACCACGCTCAAGTATAGCACTGCATTCCACCCCCAGACCGATGGCCAGACCGAGAAGATGAACATACTCTCCAAAGAATTCTGCAGAAGTATTGTCATCCACACCAACATGACTGGGATCAATTGCTCACAGCCGTCGAGATTGCCTACAACAACGCTGTCTGCCCCTCCACTGGCATGTCCCCTTTCTACCTAAACCTTGGCTACCATCCCCACCCTATGATTTCTTGCTTCCCTCGCAGCTCAGCCCCTCCACCCCTTGCCCCTCTCTCAATGAATGGGTAGCAACAATGAACAGACTCCTCAGAGAAGCAAACCAAAGCCCTTGAAAGAACACAAGAACAAAAAGCCAATAAGACTAACAAACACAGACGTGACGTGTCATTCAAAGTAGGGGACAAAGTCTGGCTTTCTGCCAAACGCTTTGAACCCGAACAAGGCTTGTCCAAGAAACTCTCGAACAAGTGGCTCGGTCCCTTCCCCATCATTGAATAAACCTCTCCCGTGAATTACAAACTTCAGCTTCCACCTGACATGTGTCGTGTCCACCCAGTCTTCCACGTAGAATACCTCAAGGAATACCACGAATCCCCGCCCCAGTTCGCTGACCGCCCTTATCCTAGACCTCCACCGATCATGCTTCCAACAGGCCCAGAATTCATAGTCGAGTCAATCATAGGACGAAGAACAACTCAAGTATCAGATCACCCGGAACCAATCACCGAATACAAAGTAAAATGGACTGGATACCCTGATGAAGAATCAACATGGGAACCCCTTGATAATCTCAAGAATGCCATGAAACTTGTTCGTGCCTATGATCGTGCCTACCCTGTATCCTAGCTATATCCTGACATAAACCCTAAATCCTCGCTTAAAACCCTGCTACAACCTCGCAACCCTGCTCTACACACACGCTTGAACCCAGCCCACCCTCCCCTCGACCCTGATTCCTGATGTCTGATATGCCATTGCCCTCGCCTAGCCTTGTCCCATCTGTCCTCTCCACTACCTTGTCTCCCTTGTTCAATGCTTGTGGACCTGCGTGACGCCGGCGATAAAGGATCTAATGGCAAACACACGAGGACGATGGCCTGCTGCCTCACTGATCATGGAGATTATACAGCTGGTTTGGCCACCCTGCTGTTTCATCGGCCGGCATCCCGACTAACAGGCTTACTGGAGCAGCAACCTGTGACATGGATCTTTGCATCAGTCTGCGACTTCCTTGCTTCCAGATCAGACCTCATTGCAGTTCGTGTACCGGACACACCCTAACACTTGGACTTTGGACATGTGAACCAATGCTACGCTTCTTGGACTTCTACCTATCGCAGCCGCTGAAGACCGCTTCTACCACCTACTCCAAGACCTGATCAAGACCGCTGCAGATCCCTTTTCAAGACACTTGGACACTTTGTTCCTACATGAGACTTTGCTTCCCACTCCTTCGGACATACCAGCCCTTACATCCTGAACGAACACTTTCATTTTTCCTGACAACCTTGTAGAACATCGTTAGAAAATCCCTGTTCCCCTAACCATTGTTTCCCTTACCCACTAGAACATCAATAGAAATTCCCTGTTTCCCTGACCATTGTTGCCCTTTCCCACTAGAACATCAATAGAAATTCCCTGGTTCCCTGACAATTGTTCCCCTTACCCACTAGAACATCAATAGAAATTCCCTGTTTTCCTGGACATTGTTTCCCCTTACCCAGTAGAACATCAATAGAAATCCCCTGTTCCCTGAACATTTCTTAGCTTCCCCCTGTAGACCTACCCAGTTACATCATACCTTCACCTGTGCAGAACATCTGACAGAATACCCTGTGACTTGCATCACTCCCCTTCTCCTTTTCCGACCAGTAATCGGCCCCGTCCCGTCCTTCATAGTTCCTTTTTGTTTCCTTAGGTTTTTGCCAGCCGGGACGTTGCCTTTCAGAGGGAGGGGATAGTGTTACGGACTCCACCAGGGCTCGATCCCTGGTCTACTTTTTGCTGTTTCTGCTGCATCCCGTTTTTGACCTGGCACCCTTTTTCCAAACCCCTCCTTTGGTACCGTCGGATTTTGGACAACTGGCGCCATGCTGCGATTCGGGCGCCACTTTCAAATGCCACATTTTTCAGTTCTGCCCTCGGGGCTTTTGCAGAAATGCCCCTGGTACCGTATGTGTCACCGGTACTTATACCGGCTCCCTGTACGGTACGGGGACCCGGTCTCGTACCAGTTTCAGCTGCTGTACTCGTACTCAGTGGGACTTGCTCCTGTTTTCGGCATTCGGAATCCAAGACTTCAACTTTGTTTCCTTGCCACTGTGTCTGCGTCCGACCCTGAGTCGTGTCGAGTGAGTGAGTGTGTGTGTGTGCTCTCACTCTCTCCCTCTCTCTCCCCTCTCCCTCGGCTCTCCCTGTCTCCCTCAGCCCGTGCTCGTCACACCAGGCCCACACGTTTTGGCCCAGGGCTGTGGTAGGCCAGGCCACTTGCGACACAGTATAAATAAAGAGGCAGCGCCCAGTCATTAATTCGTTCGCCTGTGAGCCATGCGGAAGTGCTGCTGGAGCGACGCAGACACAGTGGCAAGGACACAAAGTTGAAGTCTTGGATTCCGAATGCCGAAAACAGGAGCAAGTCCCACTGAGTACGAGTACAGCAGCTGAGACTGGTACGAGACCGGGTCCCCGTACCGTACAGGGAGCCGGTATAAGTACCGGTGACACGTACGGTACCAGGGGCATTTCTGCAAAAGCCCCGAGGGCAGAACTGAAAAATGTGGCATTTGAAAGTGGCGCCCGAATCGCAGGTGCCCGAAGCTGAAGTGGGCTGAGGAAGACGACGGCGGCCATAGCTGAGAGGAGGAAGACAACGGCGGCCGTAGCCGCCAAGCTGCTGACGTCAACAGAGTGTACAGAACGTGTGTATGAGGCGTGGATATTCAGGGTGGATCTTCATGTGTGTGTGCGTGAGTGAGAGGGAGGCTGATGGTGGAGACAGTGTTCGGTTGGGACGTCAGACAGTGTTTGGCGGCCATAGCCGCAAGTTGTAACAGTTAACGTAAGCTGGGTTCCTGGCCAGAGGACATATCTCTGAGTTTTCTGTGTGGGCGCATGGCGCCATTGCAAGTTCATTGCCGATTCTGAGTTGATGAAGTTGGTTTGCCATCAGCACATACATGTATGCATGCTGCAAGCGAGATTGAGACAAGTCCGAATGCAGTTTGATCTTTGTGTGTGCATGTGGCCACATGTGGGTGCATGCGTGAATGTGCATGTGCGTGCTTGTGTGTGTGTGCACTACTGTGTTCACCCCAATAGAACGGCTGGCCATTATAGGTGCATTATAACTGCAGTGTAGATGCAGCGATAATGACCGGACGTTCTATTCGGGTGAAGACGGTAGGCCAGCGATGGTACACGACCCAATACAAGGCCCCCAGTCTCCGGAGTACTATATCGGCCTCACCTTTGGAACAAAAACTTGTAGGCACGGAACAGATGCCTCCCATAGTGGAAGGTAGGAAACGACTATGCCGAACCATAAGCAGCATCTATGCTCCGAATGCAACTTGCAGATGAACCAGACTATACACAATGATACAGCACAAAACAAAACACAGAAGTAGTGACAGATTGTTTCCTCGGACTTGCACCAACTCATCAGAAGGCTGAGCCCTCGACAGTCCGCTGCATCCCTCCACAATCCCTTCAGTAATAACCAGCTCCAAACCCTGCCAATGGGTAAACACAGCAAAGCATGCAGCATCGCATGTGCGAGGCAACTTATAGCACAGCATAGCCGGCAGGCAGCAAGGAAAGTGGGTGGGCAGGCATGCAGTAGGGCAGGCCCACAACAACACAACAAGGCCCTCAACACACAGTAGCACTGCCGTCTTCAACCGACTACAACACCCGAACATTATGGCTGTATTTGGGGCAGCTTTCCATCCAGATACAGCGATAATGACCAGGCGTTGTATTCGGGTGAAGACGGTAGACAGCACATGGTAGGGCAGGCGGGCGGGTGTTCAGGCAGGCAGGTGGGTGGGACACCAACATAGCAAGGCACACAGCAACAGAGAGACCCACGAGCACAGCAAGAAACAAGGCGGACTATCACCTACTCACATCATATGGAAAACCCAGCGGACTGTAGGTTCACACCACCATCAGTAGCCAGGAAGCCACTAGACGAATGTCTGTTACCACTGGAAAACACTGACTCAGGCATCTCATGCAAGAAAACCACCCTAATAGTGTTGCAGGCACTTCACGCACACAGGCAACGACTACTTGGCACAACTTTAGAGGTACTGGACTACAACACTCAGAGAAGTACAGGAAAAGGCTACACCATGCTGCAAACAGACAACCACCCAGAGCTAACAAGCATAAACTTGTGAGCTCTGCACCTTTCCATAAATGTGTGTGTGTGTGTGTGTGTGTGTGTGTGTGGAGAGGGAAATGAGTAGCAACAACTTGCACGCTCCCTTGGCCTGAAGAGCAGAGAGTGACATGCATGGATTCAAGCTACAGGAAGGGTAAGGTGGGAAGGAAGATTGTAAGTCTTGTTAACTTTTTGCAGATGGGGTGACAATGAGCTGGGTGAATGTCAACCAAGTTTGCCAATTAGTAGACTTCACCACTTGCCATTCTCACCAGCAATGTCTGTCCGGCTCTGATTTTGTGGTGCAGATCGAGTGATCTCAGGAGGATTTGTGACTGTAAACGTGTATTTTCATGGCATACTGGTACACAGTGAGAAGGATGATCTGTGCGACAAGACATCTTGCCCGGTTCAAATTGGTGACTTTGTCTTCCGAAACAAACAGGACCTTCCTTGGTTCACACCACCGGTATTTCATTCCTCTATTGGCCCATTCCACGCGCACCCGCCCACCCACCCCGCACCTCGTTGCTTTCTGGTCCCTCCACTCTCCCAGCCTTTTTTTTTTTTTTTTTTTTTTTTTTTTTTAAAGAAAGAGACCACTCCAATCTATTAGTGGGGAGCAACACGTGCTGGGAACTGGGCCCAGCGTCCCTTTTGAAAATTTACAGAGTCATTGAGAGACCGGGGCCATTACCCGGCTTCGGTTGAAGACTATTTGACAACTATTAATTTTCTGTAAACCTTTCTTCTTGTTGGAGTCCAAGAATATTCTGTACAACGACCCCTGCGCCTCACTACAGCAAGACTTGTCACGAAAGAGCCACCATCTCTCCAGGAGCTTGCCCTCCTACCATCCTGATAGTGTTTCTATTGGACCCAGCCATTTTTTGTCATGTAGCCCCCCTGTCCCTTCCCCGTCTCTCTTCCATTTTTCTCCTTTGTGGCCCTGCCCTTCTCCTTCATTACATCATGCCACTGCACCCACCAAGATGTCTGGACGGTAATACATGTCAAGAAATCAGGTTACGCTTGTGATAAGCCAAGTTCCGCACATCGCGGCTTACGTACCCTTCGGGCTAAACCCCGAAGTAAGCCCCAATTACGGATCTCGGCGAGGAGATGGGTGAGTGGGGGTCAGGCCTTCAATTTCCGGGGATCATTGCATGCAGTTTTCGAATTTGTCCTTGTCTTTCTGCAGATTAGCTTCACGCGGCCGATTAGCGGCCGTGCGGGAGTCTTCAATATAATTTCGGTTGTTTCAACTTTTTAATTTCTTCGCTAAGTATGCACGCGCGTGTCCATTTCCGCTCATGTGCCAACGTTTTTTCTTGCTTCTCCTTTGTCTATGCACACTCCTTCATCTTCCTCCACACCCTTCTGGTGCGAGTGATTGGTCGTCAGTTGGGCTGGTCGGCTCAAGCCATAAGAGTGAACTTAAGTGCGCGGCTTGAACCTAAACCCCAATTGTGCGAAAATTCCAATCCTCACGCCTTCATTGGCCTAATCCTCCTACCTTCGTTGGCCTTCTGGAACGTTCTTCCTTCTCTCCTCCTCATGTACCACCCTCGGGTTCCCCGCATCACCTGCTGGTGCCCCGCCACCTTCCACTCTATAAATTTGTGCGGCCCTCTCCTTTCCTCCCCTTTGATCTCGGCTGCAATGCTGTGCGAGCTACACGCAAAGGCTGCAGCGCAGAACCGGCTCGACATGCCCAAGGACGGGCAGAGTGACGGCGTTGGGTAACCTCAGCGTTAGTTTCGGTGGGTGGTAGTCGGAGGGACTGAGCAGCGGCCAGTGGAAGGGCCTTTTGGCTATGCTGGTGTGCCTTTGGTTGGATATGGTGGCTGCACACGTAGAGTGCCAGCATTAACGTTGTTCAATCTGAATTGCGAGGAACTTCTGCTTCTTCTCCATCACTGCTTTGTCCGGGTGTCCATGTGTGCCAAAGACTAACTGAGTGAAGTAAAACGTGTGCATGACCTTAGCTGTGAGTGTCGAATGGATGCAGGATGATTCATTGTCAAAAAGTCTATGCATGTAGGGTGTCATAATGGTGAGGATGCATGGTTGAGTGGAAGTCAATTGGTTGCCCTCACTCTCGTAGATTGGATTGGTCTCAGTCATCTACGTGGATGTATGAGTGTGATGATACCCCCTTGCTCTAACTGATTCGGTGTTCCTCGCGCTGGGCGCGAGAGCAAACCTGTCACATTGCCCCCTTTCAATATCCTGTTCCTCTCGCGCATGAACGTGAGGCAACTTACCCGCCTAATCACTCAGTGGAGTCAGCGCGTGTATACAATAGGAAGTCAGGGGATATCAGGCATGAAGGTCACGTCATAATGCCTGATTTCCTCCATGTAAGTCATCACCATTTTTGTTCAGTGATAATTTTGTTGGGGTTGTCCTCGCTGTCTTTCTCGTGCGGTGACTGAGTGTTAGGGCTAGGAACTACGATTGGAACTGAAATTGTATGGAGTCGAGGTTGGCCAGTTTGAGTATAAGCGCAGGCAACTGCCGTCGTCGGACCTCATATCAATCTGCCATAACAGCATCCCTGAGTTCCCGGTTGCAGACGAAGGCGGAGTCTACTGCGATGCGGATGTTAGGAGGACACTTTTGCAGACCGATCGGGTTCACCTCTACAACCCATCGAAAGCGTGCTCCATCGGCGGGGAGGGATTTGTGCTGATTGATCAGTTTGATGTGCCCCAGTTGATTCGAACATATTCTGACCTCACTGTGCTGCCCTGGTCGGCTGCGAATGCCACGTGGAATCTGCAGTTTGACTGCAGGTGGTGTTGGGGTACCAAGGGGCCATTCCGTTCCAGATCTCTCCCCGCCATGCAGGTGCACTTCCGGTGGGCTTCTGGGTCCTAGTACGTCTATGCCAACTGCCGTTGGATAGGAAAGAGTCCAACCGGTCCAACGATTGCGATTAACTGAACCCGACGGACTCTGACATTCTTCCTTGGTCCTTATGAAAGGGTGGCATGAATGTAGCGTAGGTTAGGCCCGTTTCTTCTTTTTAGGTTGTTTATGCTTTCTTTGTTGAAGGATTTGTCTCTTTTGTGGATATAACTCTGCTGAGAAAGGGAAATTTTGAAACGTATTCCACATCTCCCTCTTGCTTTTCGCAATTCTGTCATTGCCCTTGTCAAGTTTGTGTTTCGTAACGTATCCTTGGGACTGAGGCGAGAACCCCAGTTTTGCCCTGGTGGTCCAATCCCCCACCCAAAATCCTTGGCCACGCCCCACCTACTGTAATTGGCGTTCTCACAGGTACAAGAGGCTGCGAGTGGCGTGGTATTAGGGCTGATTCATTTCAGCTCTGAGGTTCTCTCGGAAAGTTTTGACCTTTAAGACAGGTGCCTCGTCACCGTTGTGACGTGCGACAACCTCCCAACGACTTTAACCGGAATCGAGGCCGATGTGGAAACCGTGCTATGCCCGAGGATCAGCACGAACAGCCAGGGGGCAACCCATGCTGACTACACTCAGAACCCCCTGGATCTCATTCCCCCTCCGGCCTAGGCTCCTATCTTCGAAGGAGATAAGACAGACACTTGGACATGGCTGGCCGCCTTGAAAGCTCAGGGTTGGTCGGATGAGCTGCTTAAAGAACGGATTCCTGGAGGTATCGATGGCACGGCACCAACACGGTATCAACAGCATCTGTTCACTACTTGGCGGAAGTTTGAAAAACAGTTCCTTGAACGGTTTGAGCATCTGCTGCGGGCTTGGTTATGGTTCCTGTGGGAGTACATGCAGCAACCCTTGCAGTCTCTTGTGCGATACACGGAGCTATATTCCGATCTGGCTGATCACTCCCATGTTGACGAAAAGATGGTCTGGGCTGACTTCGTCCGTGGGCTGGCGGATCCGAGGCTTCGAAAGCAGAATCGAAAGAAGTGTAGCCCGATCGATCATACACTGACTGAACTGCTTAAATTCGCACTTAAGTATCGGAAGGAAAATTACGGCGTCACTCCCAATTCAGATTCGGATGAGGACGACCCTACGGGCCTCAGGCGCCATCGCTTGATGACGACTGCTAAGATGTTGGAGAACCGCTTTGGCCTAAATCAGGCCAAGGAAACCATGGATTGGAAGGCGACTTCCTCCTCACCCACGAAGCGAGGTAACGCGGCCGAGGTGCAACCTTAAAACAGCTCACCACTCCGCTCGCTGCAATTGCCGAGATGATGCAGGGTTGGGCTAGGCAGTGAGCTGTCGCGGTCGCCCAAAGGCAAAAAACAGGTGGCTATGGTGCAAGGTGCTGCTGCCGCCTCTCGACCTGCCCTTGGAGCTGCTCAAGCTCGGCCAATGCAATGATTCAACTGCAACCAGCCGGGACACGTGGTCAAAGGTTGTCCTTCGCCTAGGAACCCGCAATCCGGTAACATGGGAGCCTCCCAGATCCCGTTAGCCGTGTCGACAGCTGCTAACCGGAGTAGGGTCGCTACAGCATTAGACGCCGGAGTTACTGATGTCTTGTCCCCTATGGCCTCAGAGATCGAGCCCGAGGAATACATAGCTGATGGGATGCTCAAACCCGGGACCATAGGGGTCGTGCGTCACATCCAGAGGATTACCGAGGAAAGGGACTTCGCACCCTGGAGGCCAGGGTTGAAGGACTTGACGATTCCTAGGCCTGAGTATGAGGACAATCAGACCGACATCCTAGATATGATGAAGGCTCTAGATCTTGCGATCCCAGTGCCCATCACATATCTGTTGACTATTTCCAAAGCGGCCAACGAAAGGCTAATTGAACGCTGCTTGGAAAATCGGTGGCGTTTCGAGGAGAACCGGAAGGGCAAAAAGCTGGCAACGGAAAGCCGAATGGCCGCTCCCGAAGCGCAGACTTCCACTTCACGCACCCATGAAGTGGCGCACATCCGAATGATCCAAGCAGCTAATCCTCCGACTGAGAAACCGGATGTGTTGTTACAAGCACACCCGATCAGTTGGAAGAGTGTCGAGTGCTACTGTGAAGTGTGGGGAAGTGCGTCGGCTGTGATACTTGATTTCGGATCGTCGGCTGTAGCGTTGTCTTGGGCCTTGATGATACGTTTGGATTGGGAAGGCCAAATCAAGCTCGTTCGTCCAGATGAGATGTATGTGTATGCCACCAAGGATAATATTCAATGCAAAGGGCAGATCACGAACGTGCCATACAGGTTGTTCGGGGTCATTGCCTATGTGATGCGATTGTTCTCCATGTGCAGGCCTACGATGTGCTGCTTGGCATTCTATGGCAGGTGGCGGTTGGCACGTGGATGCACCTCGGCCCAGCCCAATTGAACCAATTATAAGTCCTAGAACCTGCTTAAGAAACAGCAAAACTAACTCAAGGGTGGTACCCGTAAGGCCAGGATTTCCCGACCATTGTTTACAGGTACATAATTTCATTAAAACACGAATAGAGTCAAGAGTTCCACTGCTAGGCTCAAAGAGTTGTTC